CCTAGACCTACCAGGGAGCAACAACTACTGTCCAGTTATCCATCCTAGGCGATATACGCACCCTAACCATGGTCCTGAGACTCAAGTTCATACCATGGCACCATATTATAAATATATAAAGTCTGCATACTCCTAATACAAAATATCATCTATCTGTATAGTGATCTGATATATGTAAAACAATCCATCCTGAAACCAATGTAGGTCATTCAATTATTTTATTGACATGACACAAATATGAGTAGAATTTAACCTTTGAGGTTAATCCATACCCCAATCCAAATTAGGTAGGACTTAGTATTTGAACTAATCCATCCCTAGTATGCCACCGTCCCATACCCGTGCATACAATCCACAACATCCATATAATTGATAGAATTTAATATCATAATTCAGCAATTAAAATTCTTACATAAACCCTTGTAATTGACAAAACATAGTTTAATAGTTCAGCAATTAATAACTAAAACAATAATCCATGCAATTGCAGAACAGAGTTTAATAGTTCAACAATTAATCCAGAGTATGCATAGATCAAGTCTGACAAATAAATGACCCTATTATGCATCCAAAACAAGATTTATAATCATGCTATAATCCGTTAAATCGCCAAATTAAAATTAAACAACTAATTTCTTTCCATCCGTTAACAGCATGCAAAGTTGTTTAAACTTCCCTACTGATACATCCGTTAGCATAAAGACTTTAATTATGCACATCAAAAAGACTGATTTAATCTCCATAACAAAATTAAACTATTTAACCTCAAGTTTTTTTTTTTTTTTTTTTTTTTTTTTTTTTTTTTTTTTTTTTTTTAAACTTAAAACAGTTTAGTACACATCCACTAACTAACTTTTTAGTTAATTAAATCCCATACTTAGCATATCTAGGTATATTATGCAATTCAGTAAGTTATTAGGCTAATTTACATACTCTGATGTTAATAAAATAACCCTAAACGTGTTCTACATGAACAACACAACACTGGACCAAACTGTTGACAAATTTCCCAAACCAGTTGATGTTTTCTCTCTAGGTGTCAACTGGTTTACACAAACCGGTTGATGTAAAGTTTCTAAGTGTCAACCGGTTTACCCAAACCGGTTGATGTAAAGTTTCCAAGTGTTAACCGGTTTACACAAACATGTCAACCAGTTTACACAAACCGGTTGATGTAAAATTTCAGATGTCAACTGGTTTCTCTAAACCGGTTGACATCTAGCCTATAAACGTCAACGTGAAGCCTCCTAGTCTGTCTCTTCTCCGACTCTGATGACTCTGTTCTCCTCCGTTAAGGTTACTAATGGTACAGTTTTACATCCCAATCAACCCTAAACATTATTTTGGTTCTTTATACATAATCTAAGCAAGTTAAAATCGTAAACCATGCAATAAACTTTAAACATAAATCAAACATATACACATAGACTTAACATACTGCAATTCAAGTTTTAACATGTATACATGGTTGATTTTAATAACTTAAATTTCATGGAGTTTCCCTAGGAATGCACAGAACAGAGGTTAAAGGGAAAGAGTAGAACAGAGACTTGCCTTGAGTTTCAGTTTTGAAACTCTAATCCACGTCTCTGAATTTTCCAACGAAACTCCCTACTGATGTTCCACCTCTGTTGCTCTTGGTTTCACCTACGAGCAACCTTTCCTTCCTCCTCCTTGGTCCAACCTAGCCTTCCTTTCCTATCTCTCTCTGTATCTCACTGTCTCTCTGCTTTACAGAAATTACGATTCAAGTTATCTCCAACCCTAAACCACAGTAATGTCATATTTATAAGCTCAGAATAATAAACCCTAATCCGTGTATAACTAGAAAATCTAACTAAAACTCTAGTCGGCCCAACCGTGAAACCTAAAACCCTACATCCTCCTCTTAACTTATTTATATAACTAAATTATCAACTTAAATCCATTAGTGTAATTAATACCCATAAGTAAAAAAAACAATCATTTAAAACCCTTTTGGATAATTAAAATCACAATTCAATAATTCAGATAATTAACCACAATTCAATAATTCAGATAATTAAAACAATAATTCAATAATTTAGATAATTAAAATAATAATTCAATAAGTAAACAAATAACCATTTAAACAAGCACATAAATAAAAATGCAATAAAAGAAAACAAATTAAAATGCCGAGACTATCCTTTTAAAATTAGGGGTATTACACCTTACGTTTAAAAAATTACACCGTCCTTTCTCAAGGTTTGCTCCGTCGTAACACTTAGCCCCCTACGGTGAAAGTCAAAGCCGGTCAATGGCCATTTTTGATGACATCAGCCATTTTTAAGTATGAAATACCACATTTTCCCTAAACAAATTACAAAGACATTTTCATTTTTATTTTTTACTTAAAATTACTTATATACCCCAATTTTATATGCCCTCCACCACCACCCACCTCAAGTAGCCCTAGATTCAGACACTCAACCACAAACCCTAGAAACAGATCGAGACCCAATTCCATTGCCGGCAAGCTTGCCATTGCATGAAAATCAGCATAGCCACCGTATGGATGAGATAAATAGTCAGCTTAACTTCTATCGTCGGCAAGCTTGTCGGCCGCACAGCCACCGTGGATGGAGCTCATGCCCCGGCACTATAATCCGACCAGTCTGCATCGATGGTGGCACTACTGATTTTGCAGGGCTGCGGTGAGGGTCTGTTAAGGCCGGCAATGACATGGTCTCCAGCGGCGGCTTCATCCTCTGGCCCAATGCGCCTTTTACATATATATATATATAGCTGCAAATCGTCGCCCCACAGCAGATCGCTGCTGAAATCGATGGAGCCCTTTGTCACCGGAATCCATGGAAACCCCTCCGCCGACAGAGCAGCTCTCCTCTTCAGCTCCTCCGTCTATGGCTGCACCCTAATCCAAAAACCCTCAATAGATTAAGACCTATTTGAGTTCTTCATCGATTTAAACTTCGCAATTAACCCAATCGACAACATCGTCTTCTGCAAAAGCATCATCCCTACGACGACAACCAAGACGAACTCAATGAGTACCAGAAGAGCCATTACTTCAGTGTCGTCAAATCGTCGTCATTTCACAAGTCTCGCAGCTCTCAGTTGATCGGCGACTCGAATCGCTTCACCAACGAGAATTGGCTGAGCTCACTACGGTTTCTGAATTTGGATTTGCATCCGATCTGGAGTATCGCCAGGTGCGACTTCACCCTTGAATATTATGGCAATCACGTCCATGTCGGCGAAGTCTAGGCAATAAATTTTCATGTTCGGATGGGTGAATTTATGCCGGAGATAGTTGCTCTGCCCTGCCCTGCACATACATCTATATATCTATACATAAGTTTGACTAATTGAAACATTGTTAAAATTTATTGGATCCACCAAGTTTTCTTCTTCCTCAGTCTCCTTATTTTAGGTCGTTACCGTTGGTTTCACCCGTGGATGATATCACCGTGTTGGTTGTCGTTGTGGAAGAGTCCGCCAGTGGTGATGATTGTGATGGTGGTGGTTGTGGCCACGGCGCCACCACGGTCACCACCTGTGATAGTTGTCTATGCATGTATTGTACATGTAGGTATGTATAATTGTATTTTTAGACAATATGGTAATTTCACAAAAAGATTTTATGTCATGTCATATTAATAAAATATTAAAAGGTGTTTTAGTCATTTAATATGGTCAATGCCGAAATAAAATGCCGATCAGTTTGGAAGGTGGTCAGTTTAATTTTGAAGGTGGTCAGTTTAATTTTTGAAACGTACCGCCCGTAATTATGCCTAATCCCAAAAAAGAGTATGTGAAATTATCCCATTAATAAATTATAGGAATCTTATGCCTAATCCCAAAAAAAGGTATGTGAAATTATCCCATTAATAAATTATAGGAATCTTAACAATTACTCGTAACTATTATTTTCATATGAAAGGGGATGTCGACCAAAGAGCGTACGAACAAACCTGGCGTCTTGTTCTTTAAGTTGCGCACATCGTTTCACATTGGAAACCAATGACTACGTCACACGTGGGAGTGTAACACGTGGAATGTGATTGGACAAAGTGTCTTATACTTTACTTATTTCTCTCTTATTTTTCAATTTCATTGGGGAAGCCAAGTTGTTACGTCCGTGGCATGTAACATATAAGTCATTTTTTCCTTTACAAACTTCTATACAAAGCGAGTTTCTCGTGTGAGTTTTAGTTAGCGTGGTTAATTACTGGATTATCCCTACTCCATTCTTCTAATTTACCAAAAAATTCTAGACGATTTGTATTTGGCATTCCAAATTTGTACTTTTTTTTAGCACCCAAAATTTGTACATTGCATTTTACTTCAATTTTTTTTTTTTTTTTAAAGGAATGAAGTGACATAATTATTATACTTATTAACAGTGGAGCATGAGAATTCCTTTTCTCAACAATGTAGATCGTGAGATTTTATATTATTTATTTATTTATTTTTAGTTAATTAAACATATACAATATTTTTATGGTGGGACTCAAACTTTTAACATCTTTAAATAGGAAAAATTATATCATTCGGACTAGAGGGTAAAAATCCACTTAATATCAATGCAAGCGACCTAATATATCATGTCCTCTCTGTTGTACTGCAGAACTATTATTAGAATCAACACTCGCATGTAAAATAAGTACTGTTTTAACTTGTCTTTTTTGTTTTTGACAATTCAATTTAGAATTAAATTAATTCTAAATGAATTAACATTGGAAAAATTGAAATTAAAATTGGACACGAATTTGGTATTTCCAATCATAGATATATGACAAAAATCATAGATAAATGTTTTTAGTAACACAATTTAAATAGCACTAAATGAACACATAAAATCTAAAAGGAATATCAAATAATTTTCTCAAAAACAAATTTCACTTAAAATTGAAAATATATATATATATATATAATGGCATTTACGTAGTTTCGTGAAGATACATGGTCTAATTTATTAAGTCACCAAGTAAACATTTTTACGAGATTTACGTATTGGGTTTCTAGAATCAGAACCAATGAAAATTCTCTGTGACATAATATGATCTTCGGTTTTCATCTCCAACTGGATTGTAGACCATCCTCTTCCTCTCTCTCTCTCCTCTGAAAACCCTAATTTACACTCGCCCTCTTTCTCTCTCTACAAAATTCACTTCCGTCATGACAATATCAGGTATTGCAGCTTCCTCATTACCCACCAATTCTTGCTGATTTTCTCTCTTCTTACGCATTTTAAATTCATTAAGAACATGCTTTAACTCGATTCGATGTGTGTAATTCTCTTGAATCGAGCTCGTAATTTTGTAGTTTATTGTTAATTTTGATCAAATTCTCTGTTTTTGAAGCGTTTGGATTTTGTTTTGTTATTTTCTGTTTATGTGTTTCGAATTGAATTTCGATAAGTTGAATCTGAATTCAGTTTTGGGTAGTGATTGGAATTTTCAATTATGTTGGTTTTTGGATGGAGTGATTAAATGGCAGGTGGGTTTTGAAAGGTGTGAATTGTGATTGTTCTTGTTGTCTCATTTTTGTTTTAGAGGGAATGTAGTCGAACAAATCCGATTGTTATACACATGTAGAGAACAATGGAAGCTAATTTATGTGATATTAATCACTTGGATTCCGATGTCCTTTTGCCTCCCCGAAAACGGCTTCTAGCTGGATTGAAGAAGCAGAATTCCAATGGCAATTCGCATCTGCTGCCATTGACTTCTGCCACTTCGAATGAATTTGACACCCGTCTTAATAATTTGTTGAGATCTCATTTGAAAAACCCTAATCTTTCTCCTGAGGAGATGGTGGAATCCTCGAGATCAGCAGCTGTAGCTGCAGGTAAGGTTGCGGTGTCTGCAAGAGCTGTGGCTGATGAGAAGGCGGAGAAAGCAGCAAAGGCGGTTGCTGCAGCCAAGGGCGCTTTAGAATTGGTTGCAACTATTTCTGAGAACACTGATTGCAGAGAAAGGAATTCCAGGAAGAATAAGATGAAGAAGCATGTACAGGTTGAGATGTTGTACACTAAGCACCGGTCAGTTGAGAATTGCAAGACAGATGAAGAATTAGCCCGGAAGTTGCATCGGGCCATTAACAGCTCCCCTAGAATTTCAAAGTTCTCTTCAACTTCTGATTTAAATAGTCACAAACGTAAAAGGCTGAAGAATGTGCCTATTTCTGAGAAAACTAGGATTTCCAATGGTGTTACAGTGTGGGAAGGAAGCCCACCATCGACGAGCAATGGGAATGGTTTAGCAGGTGAGGTGGATTCTGAAGGTTCTGTGCATGAGTTATACGCTACTAGAGTAGATGAAAGCACGCCAAAGTTTAATAAAGCTGACCGATTGAAGATTGATAGTGAGGAAGTGGAATCAAGTCACTCAAAGGAAAGAATTGGTGAATCCTTGGATGATATAAGTAGCAATTGTAGAAAGAGAGGAAGACTTAAGCAAAAAAAGTTGCCTTTAAGTATTTGTACTTTTAGGGATCGAGAAAATCCCAAGGAAGAGCTGAAATCTAGAAGCTCTCCGTTGACTGAAGAGAGCATGCCTAAAACAACTGCTAGTAAGATGCCACTGTTTCCCGTAGAGCCCTCTGGTGATGGTGTGATGCCAGTGGAGACGACAACTGTGTGGAAGTGCCAGGCATTCAAGGCTCCCACGTGTGTTAAACAAAACAAAGTCATGCAGTCATAATGTTTTTACCCTCTTGTGACGGTGTATTGCTACCACTTCTTGAAGTTGCCAAGGTAGGATTCATTTACGCTTGTCTTATAGATTTGGACTTACTTTATATATATTGTATTTTTGCTCGTCCATGGCATTGTAATGAATTTAAACTCACATAAATGTATATTTATCTGTTTAATTGCGTTCATCTATTTGAAAGGATTTCAGATTATTGTCTACTTTTACTTGGTAGCAAAACCTGAAGTGAACATATGAGAGGAATGTGTTAATTGAATAGTACTCTGTTGATATATTACATATGCATAATGCTTTTGCATTCATGTTAGCTGTACAAAACACTTTTAGTATTGTACACTACAATATTAATTATTAATTCTTTTTTCTCCTTACATAAAGTGTCATGCATGAAATCCATGTTGATTGCAATGGAAAATGAAAAGGAAAATAGTGGCTTTATTTTCATTTAGAAGACAAGACAGTAGGATAAGAATGTAATGGGAGAAACTTGGCCATTAGCCGTGATCATCATTTCAACCCGCCAATATGAGATGGACCCTGTCAGAAACAAATAATAATTGGATTCACTTTTTCACACTTTTTCCCTCATCAATAACACTGTCAGTCATAAATTGTGTCGTGTTTCTGAATTTCAACTATTGTACTAGCCCTTAAGGCATAGTTTAATTAATCGACTTTATTGTGGGTTAATTTATTATAGTCTTCACTTGCCAAATACTTTCTCTCTTAATCTTGAATAAATTTTATTGATGAACTTGGTGGATTGCCACATTTTTATCATCCATGACTGGCTTTGTGTCAACATGAGAACTGTTGCTGGGTAATTTTGTTAATGCACTGATCTTTGGAGATGTTGTCATTGGTCAATGACATGAAGAGTAACCATGATGATCATAGGTATTTAGATAATTAGATGTGACAGTGATTGATTTTTTCCTTTTTCTTTCTTATATTTGATTCGCTAATTTGAAAATTAAGGATTTGATTTTTCATCAATGAATTGAAGTTTTTTTTCTTCCCCCCTCCTTTTTTTGGTAGGTAAGACACACTCAAACACCATTGTCCCTGTTCTGGAAGTTGAAAGGAATACTACTCAAGCTAATGCTTGGTGGTAGAAGATAAATGGTTAAAACTTAAAAGTGACCAAGCATACATCCCCAGTTGTCCAAAGTCGAGAAAGAAATTGTTTTATTAGCCTTTTGATGGTAATGATCAACTCTTAGGATTTCTGGTGCTTACATCGTACAGTGTCTTTGAAATGGTTTCCTTGATAGACAATAAATTCTTGTATGCTGGGAACATAAATTGGAGCAATTCATTGAAGTAAACAAGTAATGTTGGAGAACAAAGCATAAGTATCCTTGTATCTCCTACCATGAAACATAGCTTTGGATAAACTTTATTTGTCTGAGGTACATATGGATCTTTCCTTCAATTGCTTGACATAAATAAGTAGTAATGTTAATAGTTTGTCCGCATGAGAGACTATAGATCTGTCTTATGACCACTTTTTCCTAGAATAGAGGAGAGTTCAGTTACACCCTGGTGGTGTTTAATAGTCTGTTTTGTTTAGTGTTTCTATTGCTCTTGTTTTGAAGGTGCTGATTGCATCTATCCTGTTTAGGCTAAGTGGATTTCGTAAGCAATGTATAACATTTTCAGTTTTTTGTTCAAGTTTATTGGAAACTTCAAATTTATTTCTTCTAAGAAAAAGCTTAGAGATGGGAGCAGATTATTCTCTGCCTCGCCAGTTCAGCTTGCTAGCAAAAATAAGGATTAATTTTTTATGGATTTGAGGATCTTTAATTTGAGAACCACACTCCTGAAACTGTTTAGGCATTTGATGAACAATGAAAACCTACCCACAATTTTTGATGGATTTGCCGAAACATGAACATTTCAGGTTCTCGTGTCTTCCTAATTTATGCTATTTTCTATGATGGTAGTTTCTGTAATAAGATCACTATATCAACTGATTGTTAGAACACCAATTATTCAAGTTAATTCATCTAAGAGCTACAGAAACACGATGGGGTTGCGAAAATTTTCTACATTATACTAAAATATCTGACTTGTAGAAACAAGCTCTTCTGCTATTGTGTTGAATTGTGTATTCAAGTATCTGTGATCAGGCCTGTCATCCTTAGATTTTTTAGGTATGTATAGGTGGTCAGAACAGTATAGGAAGCATCCGCATGTTTAAAGTGTTCTATGATCCCGATATTGTAGATTATCTTAAACTTCATATGGAGCATAGCAAACAACAGATTACCACTGTTGATTTTTCGTGGTTATATCTAGGAATGGTTCCTTATGCAGGTGTTGGAAGTCTGGAGGGAGACCTAACTTTTGGCATTATTTTTGCTTGTGATTGTGGTCAGGCTTGAACAAATGTCATTAAAGTTGTTAGCTTGAGCTTTTACTATTGCACTTGCCACAGCCCAGGTAGGAGAAGACGACATAGTTTACATTGAGCGTAATATTAGGGAGAGAGGAAGACCAAAGTTAACATGGGTAGTATTAATATGGTATGGTATGATAGCACATGGATTGACTGAGGCTATGAGCAGAATGAAAACATAGAATTCATGTAGTTGACCCCAAGTAGTTGGAGAAAAAAGGCCGCAGCTGTTGTAGTACTTAGCAAGTAGCAACAGCCCCGGTAGAGTTGTGTGGATCAGCTGCCACAATTCGATACATCTGTGTAACCTGAAGTCTGGTTCTTTTGCCCTTGCCAAGTGATACATATTACCTAGACACATTGCTGATACCCTTTTTGGAATATTAGTGTTGGCAAGATTGTTTTATACCTGCTTTATATTTCAGCACCTTATGAGGAAGCATACAAGGTTAATTGAAAAAAGAAACAACGCAGATTGCTTCCAACTTTCAAGCCCCTTGGATCACATTCTTTGCTTGATTTCCTTCTGATATTCTTCTTCTCTAAATCAATTTTTTTTCTGTTTCAATTAATAATTATTTAAATTTATTTTTTGTTGCACGGCCATATGCTCTTGTTTGTTGTATTTCGCAGTTTCCACTTGTAACCTTAGTGGATGGTGAGACGAGCAGCAGTTAGGTTCATGTCTTCTAGAAAGGAATCCAGAAGGTGGAGTGGGTTGTGTCTCGGTCGTGTGTCGCTACTCGCCAGTATATATATTGCTAGTGCAATGCGCCAGCGTAACAGACACATGAAAAAAAAGTAATTGTATAAGCGTTCTAATACACATATGTTGTTACATAAGTGATATAATGGCACAAAACGTGATACGAGATAAAATGGCTTAGTGGAGGATCCGGATTCCTCCTGAGAGATGAGAATGGTCAGATTTAGACTAAAAATAACAATTCGTCCTTTGAAACAGATGACACCGAAATAGAGTTTCAAATCGGATACATTAAATTCAATTTTCATTTGGAATGTGTTTAGTTGAGTGTTTTCCTTGGGTCTAGGGTAAATCATTAGCAGTTACTTGTGGCAGTTTTTTTTTTTTTTTTTTTAAGTGATTGGCAGTGACAAATGGCTGGTCTTGAGATTATGTAATAATTTTTGGACTTAAATGGCTTATTTTTTAATTTATTATTATTTTTCAATCTTAAATTTTACCTTTTCTTCTTTTATTTATTTATTTAATTTTATTTTTAAACGGTTATGATGTCGGGTTTTTTTTTTTTTTTTTTTTTTTTTTTTTTTTTTTTTTTTTTTTTTACGTAGGCTAGCGCAGTCATTATATTTAACGTAAGGTCAAGAGTAGAGAGAGTCGGAGACCCTCTCCCAAACCTAAATATTATCAACTCTCATGAATACAGAGCTATGTCTCTTTATTATATTTGTAATTTGTATACATATGCTTATGATTAGGATGATTAGGGTATGGAATAATATTTTATTATTTGAAAAATTAAATATTCATGAATTTCTACTCATGTATCATTAATAGTAACGTCCAAATCTTGTAAAAAAATTTGTGTTTTAGGGCAATAGTTTTTTTATTTTTTATTTTTTATTTTTATAAGTAAATAATTTAGTAACTTATTATATACTCTCTTGTTTTAGGGCAATAAATTAGATGTAAATTTTATATAATATTGTTGCCTAAGGATGGACATACTTATATATTTGATCGTGTGTAACAAATTTTTTTTTTTTTTTTTTTTAAATTTAAGCAACTGTCATAAATTAAAAGAGTGTTTACAGTAGTGGGCCTTAGGCCATAACAAGTGAAGAGACAACCGGCCCAAAGGCAAAGACAACAAGGGACAAGCCCAATCCAAGATTCCAATTGAGAGAACAAAGCTAACAGCCAATAGCAGTAAAGAAACCGTTAATGGTTGTTAGAGAATAATCCGGTAATGGAGTCGTACTGCACAATCTATGCATAAGAAACTAATCCGGCAGTCTTGGAGGCGGCCGGAGAGGAGGACGACAATAAGATGGGGAGAGTCTCTAGTCCTTGAGGATCTTTGAAGTTGCCGTGCAATTTCTAAGAACCCTCAATTTGAGAATGGCAGAGATGGTAAAACAGATCTTGGGGCAGACGACTCGCTGAAATGCTTTCTCTCCTTTGTAAATCCGAGCATTTCTCTCTTCCCAGGTACGATACACAACTGAGAAGAGAGCCAATTTTCGAAGCATATTTGAAGGGGTGTTTAATTTCCAATTGTTGCTGATCAGTAGAACAAGCGCATCCCAATTTGCCGTTAGGGTAAACATTTGACATTTGTATGTGATAAACCTCAAAATTGGTGAGATGAAGGAGCAATTGAAAAACAAATGTTCATGTGATTCAGTTGAACTGTGGCATAGAGCACAAATGTTTTGATGTCTGGCCATAACTTTGGTGTCAAGGGTAGGCAACCTTGATTGAACTGCCACCCATAGGTTAAATTTCATTCTTGGGATGGTTGGAGAATCCCACACCAGATTGTGCCTCTGTACTAATGGGAGATCCTCTACAAGGTGTTGCAATGTGTGCTTGAAAGAATACAGCCCATTTGGAGATGCAATCCACTTCTTTGAGTCATTTCTAGAGGAGCATGGTGGTGGTAAGGAGAGCAATTCAGGTATGACAGTGGTTATAGAATGTGGGAAAGACCATGAGTTGTCAACAATAAAGGAATTGACAGCGGTTTCATCATTAAACCCAGCCTCAGTTAGAAGGATGTGTGGAAA